TTCTTAGAAGGACACTTATTTTGTTCATTTTTGGCTTTGTATCTTTTTCTGTGCCTCGGGTGTGTGTAGTGCAGGGTGTTGTGTATGTACTAGTATGGGGACATGTACCTGTGCATGTAAGTATGTTGTGCATGTGGTTGTGGACACCAGTGGTCAACATCTGGTACCTTCCTCAGTCACCCTGTCTTAGCTAGGATCTTATTGCTGTGAAGAGATTTTATCACTATGACAACTCTTATAAAGAAAAATATTCAATTGGGACTGGTTTACAATTCAGAGGTGTAATCCATTATTGTCATGGGGCAACATTGTGACACTCAGGCAGACATGGTGCTGGAGAAAGAGCTGAGAGTTCTAATATCTGGATCCCCAGGCAGCAGGAAGAGACTGTGAACCATTAGGCCTGGCTTGAGCTTCTGAGACCTCAAAGCCCAGCCCCCAATTGGTGTGAGAGAATTGTCTGTAATCTGTCAATCATATTTTAAATAAATGCTGATTGGCCAGGCAAGAAGTATAGGCGGGAAAACCAGACAGGAAGTAGAGGTGATGCAATGAGAACAGGAGAATTCTGGGAAGCAGGAAGCTCACTCCAACATTCCTGCCCAGATCACTGAAGAAGCAATATGTGAGCTGACATCTGAAAAAGGTACCAAGCCATATGGCTAACATAGATAAGGATAATGGAGTAACAAAAGTTATAAGAGCTAATAAGTAGCCTGACCTAATGGGCCAATCAGTTTATAACCTAATGTAGACTCCGTGAGATTTTCTTTGGGACTTGCCAGCTGTGTGGTATCCGGTGGGACAGAAACCCCAACAAGCCACCCTCATGTTACAGATCAAGCAGGCAGCCCCCTTCATGTTACACCCAATGACTCACTTCCTCCAACAAAGCTATCACTACTCTATCAGTGTCGTCCCTCCCTATTGATCTATAGTGGTCATTTGTATTCATACCACCACATTCTCCAACTTATTTTGTGAGACAGAGTTCCTGAATCTAAAACTCATTGAGCCAGTAAATTCTAGGAATCTTTCTGTTTCTTGTCTCTCCCCGTCTTGGTCTTATAGGCACTTTGGGGCTTTTTATGTAGATTCCAGGGATCTAAATTCAAGTCCTCATGCTTATGCAGTGGGACTTAAAGGTAAATATATTAAATTACAAACTTCCAAGAATTAATATATAATATCCCTTTGTGCTACAAGATGCATTTTTGTGGTGGTGGTGTGGGGGATGTGGAGTCACTTTACATAGTCTTTACATAGGTCTTTCCTTCCCCTATCTTTCTTGTCTAGCTATTCCTTAAGGTGTTTGTTTTAGACAAAATATACCATGACCAAAAAGTTGGGGAAGGAAGGTTTATTTGGCTTACACTTTCACATCACAGTTCACCGTCAAAGGACATGAGGACAGGAACTCAAGCAGTCAGGATCCAGGAGGCAGTGGTTGATGAAGAGGCCACAGAGGAACATTGCTTATTGACTTGCTCTCATGGCTTGCTCAGCCTGCTTTTTTATACACCCAGAGGAGACCCCAAAGACAATGGGCTGCACTCCCACATCAATCACTAATTAAGAAAATGATCTATAGGTCTGCCTACAGTCCAATCTTATTGAGGTATTTTCTTAATTGAGGCTCCCTCTTCTCCAGTGAGACTATCTTGTGTCAAACTGACATAAAACTAGCCAGCACAGTGTCAAACCAATTGTATAACACACCCTTAAACCAGCTATTAAAACCAAAAACTAGCAAAAATTATGTGCAAACTTTTTGTTCAATATCTAGGAATCTGACATTTTCTTGAGATCATGAGCATAGCTCAAAATATCTCTCACACACACACATACACACACTAAAGATATGTGGTCACTTGTTTCTATTTTTTTCTTCATGTGTATAGATATAGCATGCATGCATATGTGTATGTGCTTATGAGCACGTGTGCACACATCTTTGTGTATGTGTATGTATATGCACACATGCACAAACATACCTTTGAGGCCTGAGGTTGATATTGGGAATCTTTTTAAAAAAATGCATTTATTTTTATTCTATGAATATTTTGTCTGAATATACGTCTGTGTGCCAAGTGCATGTAGTGTTCTTGGAGGCCGAATGAAGGTGGATCCCCTGGAATTTCATCTGGAGTGACAGATGGTTGTGAGCGGAGGCACCACATGGATGCCAAGAACTGAACCCTAGGTTCTATGAAAGAGTAACAAGTGCTCTTAACCACCTATTCAGCCCCAGGAATCTTGTTCAGTTGCTCTCCCACGTTGTCTTCTGAGGCAAATTCAGAGCTCACTGTTACAGAGAGTACAGATAGTCAGTTTTCTCAACCTTCTGAGACTGGGAACCTGAATGCTGGCCCTCTTGCTCGTATGTAAGGGCTTTAACTGCTAAGCTCTCTCCTTATCCAGGGTCATTTATTTAAAAGTGTGAACATGTGATTATTAACTAGGTAAGTTCTTAACATATAATCTATAAATACGTAATAGGTTATAAACCATTGACGTTTATAAAACATACAATTCATACTCATTGTATACTCGTGATGGTTAAGGAAACTCCATTCTATACCAGGCGCCCTTCTAGTACCTGTTATCCTCTGCCCTAAATTCCTGAAAGATGAGCTCCTAGCATCCTGCACCCTCTCCAGAGTGGTGTAACTGCTGTGAGATCATTAACTGCTTGCTCTGACTTCTGTGAATGCACTGACTGCTGTGTACAGGGGAATGAGACAGCTCCTTTATTGCTATGTGCCTGGGGGAAGAAACAGATCCTCATGTAGCTGAGGAGAGTGAAACAGTCTCATAAAGCTACAAATTCCACAGGAACAAGATAATTGTGGTCTCCACCTTTAAAAACCCTTTCCTTAGCCCCTTCTGGACAGCACATGTTCTGTTTAGCTTTAAGGAGGCTGACCTGCAAGCAGCTTCAGGAAAAGTTTTATTTATAATCTGGATTGAGTCGTTAGTTCTCAACTCTGTACCATAATATTCAAATAAATTTAAACATATTAGTCTCAATTATTTATAACTTCTTTACAGGGAAAAGTTTGTAAATCAATTCTTCTAGTTTTTGTTTTTAAAGTGTTGGCATAGGTTTCCCATAGCAGCCCTGCTTAGCAGTCCACCTCAGCATTACCTCTCCTACCTGGCTCCAGCTTAGCATGTGCTGACTGATGCTTCTTAAGAGCTGTACTTTTTTAGTTAATGTATTCTGAATTTATTTAAAGGTAAGTTACTTTATGACAGTTGTTCTTTTATTTGCATGGTACAAAGAACGTTTAAAGTAGAAGAAACCCAGTGTTTAGTCTTTTCTAGATGTCCTCTCAAGTCATCTTGAGTACTTTCCATCACCATTTAAAATATTTCTAAATAAGCAAGTTTCTTCTATTCCACAGAGCAGGTGATAACTGGTATTACATATGGTTTTCTCCAATCTGTTCAGAGTGTGTTCTATTTTAAAAATGTATTATTAACGGCCATTGTTGCACAAAATAATTAATGTTTTCATATATTTTTGTATTTTTCCTAATGTTCTTTAATGAGCCCATTCCATATTATGAACATTTTAAAAGAAGAAAGGAATACTATGGACTTAAAAAGCAGAACTCTTAGACTACATCTTCAGTTTTCTGTCCACTCAGTCTTGTCCTCTTACTATATGGTTTGTGATTTAACATAAGGTAAGGGAGTGACCACCAAACAGGCAGACTAAATGCAGAACTTTGCTGGATGCTGTTGAAGCTTCATTATCCCTTAATAAAATTTCCTGCATTTCTATGAAGTAATGTCAAAAGCTTGAATCTTAGATCTTACTTCGCTGAAATGAACTGGCTTCTTAACATGGAATATCCTCTAACTTTGCAGGTTTTTTTTTGCTGATTTTTGTTGTCGTTTTGTTCATTTTATCAACAAGGGACATTAAAAATTATAGGATATTTTCATTTAGATGACAGCAAGATGGATAACTGAACTATCAAGAATTCATATGCTAACAGTCAGGATGCTGGTATGACATATAAATCTAGATTCATCAAAAGTGTTTATTACCTACTTTTGTGTTTTTTTATGCAGGGCACAGGAAAGTGTGATGCAAAGGAGGAAGTGAAGTGGAAAGAAGAAATTAATGAGTACATTTCACACTTCTCCTTTTGTCAGTTAATAAACAGAGACTTGTTTTGGAAAATACACAGGTCACCTTCAGTGCACAAAGCATTTTCTTGAGTCTCTTTAGAAGTATGCTCGTAGCAGAGGTGTAAATGGTGGCTAGTCCTCTGTGAAGAAAGTTAGCTTTGGAAAGTGTGTCATTTCCTGTTTCTACCATGAAGAATAAGCAAGGGTGGCATATTCAGTACAGGGCACCTGAGTTTTTCCCTGACAAGGCTTTTCTTTCTGTCCTGAATGTTGTCCTTTAACCAGTGAACAAACCCGAGGGATCCACCAGCCCATCTGACTGCTCGCTATTCTCTTTGTCTCTCAAGACTGGTCAGCCTCACCCACTACCCACACTCCCTCACCACACAGCTGCACCTTTGACATATGCCTCCACCTTGTCACTCCCTCACTTTCACATTTGGCCCGGGCACACAGGTCTTGTCCTTAGTATAGATTCTCACTCCTTGTCTACAAAGTGTTGCAAAAAATAATTTACCTTGATGCTTTGGAAGACTGTAGTCAAGACTGACCTTGATCTGTTTATGATATGATTTTTGGTTTTTCTTTTCAGATTCAAGGTGATCCTCTTGCCTCAGGGTTATTCAGAGTGATTACAGGAGACAGGCATCACATCTGGCTCAATATATATATATAAAATATTCTGTATATTTATCATTTTAAAAAATGAGTTCATACCACTTTTTTATTTATTTATTTTGATTTTTATTTTTATTTCTGAGACAGGTAAAATGTCCTGAGTGGCCTTAAACTTGTGGCAATTCTTCTGTATCAGTCTCTCAAGTGCTGAAATTACATGTATGAACCACACATCTGGCTCTTAAAACAAAGAGTTTATTTATTTATTTTAGTTTATTTTAAAAGTGATACAAGTGACATCATTTTGTAATGTGACTATTTAGGAGGCTTCTTGGGCGAGTCAAATCCGAGCTGGGCTAGTGGAACTTGGGCAAAAAGAAAAATGGGAAAGAGTTTCATATGGGTAATCATGAATATACAAATCTAAATAAATGATATTTTGAGCATTTTATGGAATGTTTTAAAAACAATTTCCTATAAAAACAACCCCAGCTTCCAGTCTGTTATTTTCTTCTTACAGTATCATTACATTGTTTAGCCTGGAACTGATGCTGTACAACTACTCCATCATAGATTCCAACAGTAAAGGAAAACTACGCCTAAGAATCTTGGATGCATACTGCTGTCACCTCACTTTCCAATTCCCTGGTGAATTAGCCATGATGATAATAGTCATTTGAGGAGAACTGGACTGGATCATCATTAAACTTAGGGGGTAACATAAATTCTGAGTTTTTTTTTTAAAAAATGAGTATTTCATTTTCTTTTATACATAATATGGAAAAACAATCTTCAAGACAAAAAGAAAGAAGTGACTAGGAAACCAGATAATAAACAGAGGGCTTTGTAAATTCACTTCTATTATAGAAGAAAATATGAACTGTAGTTTTTTTGTTTAAAAAAATTGAGTTGCCTGTATTTACAATTCTATTGACTATAAAATGCTTTTCCTCTGTCTATTTTCCCCCTGAGGTCCTCTTCTACTGTCCCTTAGTGAATAAAGGATTTCAGACATATGCATTGGAGAAAATGCCAAATTTCAATTAATACACACTACTGTCAGAAGAAGGACAAATAAGAATTTTATTAAACGATGTGATGTTTCTGCTTGCTTATTAGGAGAGCAGGAGCAGCCCAATTCATTTCCAGAGCATAAGCTGCTATTATTTTTGGTGTGTGTGTATTGGTGGTGTGTTTGTTGAGATAGCATGTCAGGTAGCCCAAAAGACATCAATCAAACTCCATATATAACTGAAAATGACTTTGAACTCTTGATCCTTTTGCTTCTACCTTTCAAGTATAAGGACTGGAGACCTGCACAGATTGTGCTATTATTTCTGAGAATGTCCTAAGGACCTATGGACAGGATGTTCTAGGTTCCTGGGAAGTCAGTGAGCAAATGAATAGCTCTGTGTGATACAGAAATATGGAGCTGTGAATTTGTGAGAGGCCAAAGGGCTTAAATGAGGTATCTGAGCAAGCAGTAAAGATCTGAGCAATCCGTAGGACATCTACTGAATAAGGCAAGGGTAGAGGGTTGAAATTCAGGGCTTAAGGGGCCTCATCAGTAAAACATTTGTCGTCACTGTTAGATCTTTGATATACAAGTGACCATAGGGCACAAAAATGCTATGTCAGGTCACAGTGCAAAGTTTTGGTACGTGAAATTACCAATCAAAATTGTTTTTAAAAATGGGGCAAGTTTGGAAGTATCTGGGGCTTAGTAGGCCTGATTCATGGCTCACCTGCTACTAGGGTTGGAAAACAGCCACTGAGAACATGACTGGGTGAAGATGTGCAATGAGAATGGCTTAAGCAACCCAAGTGGCCAGCTGCATTTGGCCCAGATTGTGATTGGATCCCTGAAATCATTATTTGGTTCAGTGATTCACAATATTCAGTAACGTCATCATGTTGCATTAAGCTGTGGTATCAGTTCCCTTTTAATCCTAAACATTTGGCCAATATTTTCCCTATCAGGGTTTGTGGTGAGGACACACGGAAGAGGTAACTGGTGAGTTAGGGATGGAAACAGCTGCAGTGGAAGACAGAAAGAAGAGAGAGCGAAGCTAGGCAGGGGTGGAACAAGCCTTTAAGTCCACTACTTGAGAGGCAGAGATGGGCAGATCTCTGAATCTGAGGCCAGCCTGGTCTACAGAGTGAGTTCCAGAATAGCCAGGGCTAGCTACACAGAGAATCTCTGCCTTAAAAAAAACAAAAACAAAAACAAAACAAAACAAAACAAAACAAAAAATGGGAGGAGGGGGAGTGGTGTGGGACAATTCTGTATTCTGTCAATTATGTTTTAAATAAATGTTGATTGGCCAGTAGCCAAGCAGAAAGTATAGGCAGGACAACCAGACAGGCAGTAGAGGCAGACCAATGAGAACAGGAGAATTCTGGGAAGGAAGAAGCCCATTCCTCTGCAGTCCTGTCCAGACACCGAAGAAGCGGGATGTGACCTGCCCTGCTGACAAAGGTACTGAGCCATGTGGCTAACATAAATAAGAATAATGGGCTATATAAGTTATAAGAGTTAATAAGAAGCCTGAACTAATGGGCCAATCAGTTTATAACTTATGGAGACCTCTGTGTGATTTTCTTTGGGACACATGGACTGTGGGAACCGGGCAGGACAGAAACCCCAACAAGCAGGCCCTCATGTTATAGGGGAGGAGTCACAGGAAGCTAAGTGATGTACAGAAATCAGTGAAAATTAGAAATCAGGAGAGGTAAAGAGAACCACCAAGGACCCTTAAGAGATCCACATTAGTGTGTGTACCCCTAGAGATCAAGCACTTGACTTCCACAGGAAAAAGCAAAGTCTACTATTCTAACCACCTTGACAGTTACCGAACAAAATCATAAAAATGGCAACAATCCAGCTTAAGCAGTAGTTTCTAACTTCTGTGTGTAATATCCTGTTTGAACTAATTCTATTTTTGAATTTTAGTTGCTGCAAACATTTTGAACTTAGGATGTGCAAAAGTACCTGTTGTTCTCTTGACTTGCGAGCAGAGCTTCAGGGTGAATACAGCTGTCTTCTTTAGAATTTAAGTGGATACTCACTCCTTTACACTTTCCTTCTGTGGTTTTGCTAATTGGTAGGAATAAAAGGAAAACTGTATGAACCACATTACAGTTTTGAAAGTAATTAATAACTTTCACTTTGAGATTTAAGTTACTTGGATTAGGAAATACTAAATTCATTATGTCAGAAGACTTTAGCTTGTCTATATATGTGTATCCACATCTTAAACAACATATCTTAATATTTCTGAAATAATTTTGGTTAGTAAATAGGTTTACCACAAATTTTGACAACTTCACATACTAATAGCTTTTCATTGCAACCTGATATAGCATCCTTGTGCTCTGTGATCATTAGTGATGTTGGGAAGTTCATTATATTATATTATCAAAAGTAATCTAGAGACAAGACATAATAGAAGGTTATAGGAAAGTACCATCCTCTTTTTATGTAAGGCGTTTGAACATCCAAAGATTTTGGTATCTGTGAGAATTCTAGAACCAAGGGCCTTCAGATTGTGAGGAATGACTAGATGGAGTAATGTATGGAAAAAGAAACTATTTAATTACTTTTAAGATTAGTAACTATAGCAGGAGCTGGAGGTGCTGTGCACTCCCCTCTGGCCGGGCGGGTGCGCACTCACCCCAATGGGAGCTCACAAAGGCCAGCTGGACTGGGACTGATGGAGCATGTGATCAAACCGGACTCTCTGAATGTGCTCTCTGTCAATGGGGGCTGACTGAAAAGCCAAGGACAATGGCACTGGGTTTTGATTCTACTGCATGAACTGGCTTTGTGGGAGCCTGGTTTGTTTGAATGCTCACCTTTATAGACCTGGATGAAGGGGGAGGACCTTGGACTTCCCACAGGGCAGGGAATCCTGACTGCTCTTAGGACTGGAGAGGGAGGGGGGGGGGGAAACGGAGAGAAAAGGGAGGTGGGGAGAAGGTGGAAATTTTTAATAAATAAATAAATAAAAAGAGATATAGAATTGTTAAAAAAAAGTCCAAAAAAGATTAGTAACTATATAAATAACAGCTAACATTTTCTGGCATTCATTATAAGCATAGTGCTGTGTTCAGTAAGATAGGGGCTACTATCTCACAGGCAAGGAAGATGAAGTCTGATGGTCAGTGTTTTGCTCAGGGATTCATAGCTGGTGACTGACAATGAACTAAGGTCTGACTATAAGCCACATGCTTTCACCAGAAATTTGACATCATGTCTTCTGGGGTTACTTAGCAAGTACTTTATATAACATGAATAACAGATTATTTGTGAATTAGTATTAGAATTAAGAATGAAAAATGCAGTTAGCTCACTTACCACTACTCCTCACCACTCAACTCCTCTTTACCCTCTTAGACTGAGAGAAGCACGTAAGACACAGAGGGACCATGAGTCACAGGCCACTTTCTCTAGCACATGGAAGGCCAGTGAGACTGAAGATAAAGAAGAGTGGAGAGTGGTGATATAGTAGTGAGACAAGTCATGTGGGAAAGTATGCATATGTGAAGAGTGGGCATATGTGGGGGAGCTAGGACCTGCTGGAAGAATGCTTTTCTGGTTGGTTATTAGTAGTAACACAAACACAGGAAAGTGCTTTTTTAGATAATGGCTCTAAGAGTTTTCTTACTTCAAATATTACACCAAGGAAGGTGTCAATATTTTCTCTGATTAGACAGGAAGGCCGCTTTGTATAGACCAGGCATGTTTAGAAACAACAAGAGAACAAGGCCAACAGCTCTGAATGGAGAAGTCGAAACAGTACTAAGGAAGAAATGAAAATATCCCTTAAAGAAATCTAGGAAAGCATAAACAAAAATTGAAAATGAATAAATCCACTAAAGAAAGCCAAGAAAAATCAGTTGAAAGAAATGAATAAAACTGTTCAAGACCTGAAAATGGAAACAGAAACAATTAAGACGACACAGACTGGAAGAATTCTGGAAATGAGAAATATGGATAAGTAAACAGGATCTACAGACACAAGCATCACCAACAAAATACAAGAGAAGGAAGAGAGAATACTGTGCTGAAGATTGGTGCCTTTGTGAGCGCCCAGTTTTCCTACATTTTTCCTACTATTAGGAGACAGGTAAGAGGACTGACTGCATTTATTAATTGGAAAGTTGACTCTCACTAGGTAGCAAGTAGGCTCTCCAGTCCCCAGAACTGTGAAAAATCAATGCTTATTGTCTAAGCTTCCCAATTTTGTATTTTGCTATAGTTACCCACATTTAAAGATGGTTCATTCATTAGAACAATAAACATGAACTGTGAATTTGGTTTAGGACTAGGTAAAAATGTATTCTGATTTGGTAAGGCATTACAGCCAACATGCTTTCTTTTGCAACACTCTTAATAATGGCTGACATGTTTATTCGCTTGGTAAATATTTCAAGTACACCTGTATGTCAGAGGCAGCTTTCAATGCTTTTACATTGGTAAAATTGGTAGCCTATGATGTGTGTGCCATAGAACACCCTATTCAGCTTCTGGTGCTGCGGTTACTCTATGCTGACAGATCAGCATGTGCTGCACCTCAGTCACAGTAAGATGCCAGCAGCTTCAGACCTTTAAGAAACACCTTCTGGCTGTTTTCTTTCTTCAACTTCTTCTTAAAAGGTTGTTTCTTTTTACCTTTTTTTTTTTAAAGTACTGGTGGGCTGGCATTATGGCTCAGTGAGTAAAGGTGCTTGTTGCCAAGCATGATGATCTGAGTTTGGGTCTTGGGTCTTGACTTCCACAAGTTATCCTCTGACTACCATGTTGCTGTTGTGGTGTGAGTACATGCATGCACACACACACATACATACACACACAAACATACAGAGACTGTTAACATATATATTTTTTTTGGTGTAAATATAACATTTTGTGTAACCAAGGCCACTTTCCTAATAATTACTACATCTGTCTTTATGAAGGTATATTCTATTGTGTTCTTTTAATTTGCTTTGTTTTCTAAGACAAAGAACATCGAATTTACAGATTCAGTTTTTTCCTTCATATTCTTTCTCTCTGTAAATACATATTTGCATGTGTGAGGATATATGTATATGACATAAGTGTCAGGAGTCTTCCTCTATTGCTTTCTGCATTATTCCATCAAGACAAGGCCAGTAAAACCCAGAGCAAACTTACATGGCAAGTCTGTCTAGTCAACTTGTCCCAGAAGATTTATTGTCTCTACCTTCTGAGCACTGGAATTATGGGAGGGCCACCATGTCCAGCTGGCATTTACATGGGTGCTGGGGATCCTAACTTAAGTTGTCACACTTGCAATGCAAGTGCTTTTACGGCTAAGCCACCTTCCCACACTATCTTTGTTTTGCTTTGTTTGAGCCAAGGTTTTATTCTGTGACTCAGGCCTCAAACTCGTGACTATTTTATCTAAGTCACCAGAATGTTAGGGCACAGGTGCAGACCACAGCATCCTCTGAAAGTTTTTTGGAGAATGTGACTATACTCACCCCTTTTTATATTTTTGAATCAGGCAATAGGAACCAATGATGAGTGAAATAAAGAAGACTATCCCAATGAAAATGCCTGAACAAGGAAACAAAATAATTAAATGAAAAACACAATACAGAAATTTTAAATTGTCTTAATAGCTAATCCCACTGTTGGTTACTAATGACTTATTACATGTGTCTTTACTCCAGGTTCTACTCTACCCTGGTTTTAATCTAGAACATCAGACCAATAACCACAGTACTATAGTTATGGGTGACCAGAGCATCCTATAAGCTTCTTCCCAATTGTGCTACTTGGCTCAGCATACACAGCTTACTCAGGTCTTTAATGGAAGGCATGAGACAGTCTATGCGATAGAAATCCCCTTGGTATCAAACTTTGTATGAATCCATTTGTGCTGGGTAAATGGTCAACTTGATACAGTTTAGATTCACTTGAGAAGATTGTCTCAGTGAGCAATTATCCAGCTCGGGTTGGCCTACGGGCAGGCCGAAAGTTAAATGTATTAAGGCATCATTCTCAGGCAAGGGAACAGGAGCTCTACAAAGATGGAGAAAAGTTCTTGACCGTGGATGTGAGCAGCTGCTTAAAGTTCCTGCCACCCAGACTTCCCCGTAATAATGGACAATATGCTGGAATTGTTAGCTAAAAATGAAAGCTCCTTTCTCCTCTAAGTTGTTTTTGTCATAGTATCTTATCATAGCAACAGAAATAAAGGTGAAGACAATATCCTTCTATCTCCAGACACAAGATTCACTCAGATCATGGTTTTATGATTTTAACAATACAAATTATCAGGATGACTACCCAGAAACAAATTTCTTGTACAGAGCAAAGAGGGAGTTGTCTCTCCTGCAACATTAAAATAAAGAATCGTTGACAGTGAAGAATGTTTACTCACTCAAATGATTCAAAGATAAGGTCCCTCAAGGTGCATGAGGATGTCAATGTCATGACACCCTAAACCAGTGTTTCTCACCCTTCCTAATGCTGTGACCCCTTAATACAGTTTCTCATGTATTAAATAACCATAAAATTATTTTCATTGCTATTTCATGTAACTGTAATTTTGCTACTGTTATGAATCATGATGTAAACGTCTATGTTTTCGATGCTCTTAAGTGACCCTGTGAAATGGGATCATGACCCACAGGTTGAGAACTGCTGCCATAAATTCACATTTTCATTGAACTTAAAAGGTATTTTGACTTCTTTTTACATATCACTTATTATAAGTAGATACTTACTATTCAAGCAAACCTATCACAGGACTTACCAACTATGAGAGCACTGTTTGAGTCTGAAAGAGAAACAAAGCCACAGAAATGTTACTGGCACATATGGCTACACAGCTGCTTTTGCTAGTATGGTTCATTCTGATTTTAATCTAGGAGTCTGATGCGGGAGAATTGTCTGTATTCTGTCAATCATATTTTAATAAAACGCTGATTGGCCAGGCAGGCAGTATAGGCGGGAAAACCAGACAGGAAGTAGAGGTGATGCAATGAGAACAGGAGAATTCTGGGAAGCAGGGAGGTTTCTCTGGCATTCCTGCGCAGACCACTGAAGAGGCAACATGTAAGCTGACAGCTGAAAAAGGTACCAAGCCACGTGGCTAACATAGATCAGAATAATGGGGTAGCATAAGTTATAAGAGCTAATAAGTAGCCTGACCTAATGGGCCAATCAGTTTATAACCTTATGGAGTCCTGTGTGTGATTTCTCTTTGGGATTTGCCGGCTGTGGGGTACCGGGTGGGACAGAAACCCCAACAAGCCGGCCCCCTCATGTTACAGGAGTCAGTTATTACTTTTCTAATATAAAACACCTTTGGTATCACTCCTACAATCTCATTTTATTATTTTCACTCACTGAAAATTTCTTTAATCTTTTTATTATAAAAATAATATTACTACAGAAGAAAATTTATAAAGCAATATAAAAGAAAAATATCACTCAAAAATGTTTTGGCACATTTTCATTGCATACATTTCCCACACATCTAAAGTCTTTACACAGTGAGCTGAAGTGCAAATTAATATAGAGGCAGCAAATACAATCTATCCTATAGACATATTACTGTGCTCAGTAACTTATGTATTTAAGTTGTTACAAGTTTTTGCTTTTAAACTGTTAAGAAAATTTGTATTTTCATACATTACTTCATTAACTTATACAGGTCTCTTTCCTGTTTTTTGTTTTTGTAAAAGTTTTTTCAAGTACTCAATAGCACTTTCAATATACAACAATATCATTACATTCTTGTTTGTTAAACACCATTTGCCAAAAACCCTTTTCACTGTTAATATAATGGGAGAAATTTACCTTGTTGGGTTTTTTTTGGCTATTTTTCTTCCTGTCTAATGATGTGAAAGTTTCTACATATTTATATACCAGAGTAAAAATAATATTTATACCTATTCTCAAAATCCTGTATTCTAAGATATTTTCTGCACTACTTGCTTCAGTCGCAGGGTCATGTTATATTGAACTGGATAAATGTCTTTTACCTCAGAAATGACACAGGACTTGTGAACTAGGAAGACCTATAAAGTGAGAAGACAGCAGGATACTTGTGCTTTTGAGAGATAGGTGGGCAAAACAAAACAAACAAAAAAAAACTCTAAAAAACAAAGAAAAAATGGATTCTAGAAAAGCAGTTGCACAAAAGAAAGGGATTCTGGGGCCTAATGAGAATGGACTTCGGGACACGCTTTACCTGCCACACTTTGAGCCTCACTGAGAATTCCAATGAAATCTTCTCTGAGTTTTCACACCTTCTCTGAAGGTGAACTTACTTGTCTTGAAATCAAGACAAGCTTGCATGGGTTGTAACAAGATTCGCTCTTGCCTAAGGAGGATGTAGCTGTGATCTTACTAACAGGCCACTGAGTTGGTGATATGGTAGACCTAAGACCACCAGGACATTCATGCTCTGGTATTGGTACTCAAAGGTAACTATTCTATTTTAATTACTCTCAAAATTTCCTACAGTGAGCTGTTCTAAGGCTGTAGCATCTCTACAATGTACTTTCTAATTTCCTTTTTAGGAAGACTAATGGCTGGTATCTTGTGCAATTTATCCTAAGACATAGGGACAAATACTGTTTTTTTCCCTTCTATGCTCTAATTTGTCTCTTCTCCCCTCAAAGAAGTAAGATTTCAAGGTTTGAGACGAGATGTATCGAGAGGAATGAGAGCCCAAACAAGGCTGCTTTAGTCTAGATCTCAATCCAGAGAAGTACACAAGTGGTGCAGCGTAATTCACGAGGAGTTTACCCTGGAATCTGACTTCAAGGACCTTCTAGTTGGTAGATATTTGGCCCCTTTTGTCTCCACCTCTGTGCTGGATAGCACGTGGCCAACTCAAAATGAACTCAGTGGTATTGAAGGGTTTTTTTGTTTGTTTGTTTTAACGTTACTGGACTTTTGCTTATATATTATGGTTTCTGATGTTGTGGTTTTATGGGTTTTCTGTGTGGGTATGTGTCTCTCTGTGTGTACGTGCTTTTTGTGCTTTTTCTATTGTAGATTCATACTTCAAGCAATTTTTACTAATATTCTATCTTGTATTTTAAGACAGCACATTCTTAGCTCCCTAACCTCTACACAATGTAACATCTCATCATAGTGGGCACCAGAATAGACAGGTGACTGGTCAGTCAGCGAGTGACCATGCTGGGTAGGGGTTCCAACCCCTGTATCTTGTACTTACGATATACACAGTTGGCCAGAGGAGGATCCCAGGTGGCATCTAACTGGCACTGGCTCTGAGAACTGCCATCTAGAGTATACCCATCCTTACATTCCAAGGTTACATTATCTTCATAGTAATATTTTTTCATTTTCAGCTCCTCACAGATTCCACTCATATACTCTGGGATGATACATGTCACTCCTGCAATAAGAAAAATCACAAAAAAATGTATTTTGTTGTTAATTGAAATGAAACTACTATTATAAAAACATCTGCAACCCCAAACTTTGTCATCTACAAAATGGGGCATATTTTCAATAACAAAATTATTACCACCCCTCCAAACTTAAGATTTAATTTTTTTCTGACTTCCATTTCTTGTATACAGTAAGATGGGGGCACTTCTGATTATCAGCTCTGTAGTTGGTAATATTTAGAAAGATCAAAAGTTAGGACAACTATGTTTTAGCCCTGGCTCCATGGAACCAGTATATGTTCTCATCTTAGAGACTTAACATGAAATTCTTCTAAGTGGAGAATATATGCTGACATTTTTTCTCTGGAGTAAGTGAATACTTCTGGTCTGTTTTTGTATAAAGAACCAAGAAGTTAGTAACTTGCAATTCTAATTTTAAATATCATCTTTCTATTTAATTTCCTTCATTGCATTTAACTCATCCTTGAAATTGCTTTCTTTTTCTGTCCAGCCATCAATACCTTCTTCAAACTTCAAGTAAAGTTTCCTTTTCTGTTGTAACTAAGATTTGCCCAAAATATGTTTCTCTCCATAGGTGTCAACAAGGTAAAGTGGCATCTAGTAGGTATGGTTTTCCTATATTAGAATATTTTGATTAATTTGTTAAAAGTAGCTTTCTGACCCTTCTCAAAACAGAATCTGAGTCCTGGAATGGAGCTCAGGAATATCTTCTTTGCAACAATCCAGGTGATTTTGCTACTATGACAGATGGAAACACACTGGTGGAAAGTGTGCTTTACTGGTTAAGACAAAATGAATTTTACTAATAGTATCAAAGGAGAGAGAGAGGGAGAGAGAGAGAGAGAGAGAGAGAGAGAGAGAGAGAGAGAGAGAGAAGACAAGCAAAGAAAAGAAAGACAGCTCCCAGAACAGTAACTGTATGCTTCCCATTGATGACAGCTGGAGAATATGGACAAAAATTTCCTAGAAAGAGATAAAAACTTTAGGTTCTATTAATTTCAACCAAAACAACTAATATGATGATAGTACCCGTGAGTGGGACATTAGTACTTTTGGATCTGTAAGGTTTTTTCTAAGATGGAACTGAGCTAACCAAATCTAGAGTTTGTTCTAAAAGACCAGAAAACAGTAGTCATAGATCACCTAGGAAGCTAATTTTTTTTTTAAACAGATTTGGAAATAGGTTTCTTTTCTTTTTTTTTTTTGAAAGCAACTATTCAGTTGCCTACCTTACACCAGGGATAGTAAGAGTCCCATTTACAAGTTTGAGGATAGGTGAAGCTTTGGTCACACAAGCACTAAATTCTAGGGAAACCTGTCTGAAATATGGACTGTAGCAAAGCAAATGTTTCTTGGTGATTCAAGGCCAATATCAATACCAAACAAATATACTATGGTGTCATCAGATAACTACAAAGATGTTTTTGTGCCAGATCAGATTATTCTAGAGCATGAGATTTGGTTTAAAAACCAAAAACAAACACATTTTATCTCACTGTAGTAATTCACAGCTGACATATTTACTGCCAGTCTTATGTGTCAGTGCACTGGTTCAATACCACAATTTCTTATGGATTGAATATTCCTATAAATTATTGCCATAAAACATACAAATAGGTAGCTAGCAATGTGTTTTAATAAATCTTACTTGAAATGGACATTTTCTAATCAAAAGGAAAATTAAAAATTTAAAAACTGGCTTGCTTTGCTTTAGGACATATAAGTAAGATAGACAAGTAATGTTTTAGACAGAAAACATGTACTTTAATCTATTTACAAATTTCCGAATCCTTGGTGTTTTTTGTAAGCATATGGTTTGGAAATAAAGGGTACTCCGTCATGTTAAAGATTGACTTACTACTCCCACTTCATTTACCATAATAAATTCTTATACAAACTTTTATTTTATCACACTTCACTATCATGCTAGTTATATACTATGATTTTTTTAAAAAAATATTTATTTTCCTGTTCTTTATTTGTTTCCCAACTGGAAAACTTACTTCATGAAAATATGGATGACTCTAACCTATTTGTTGCTCTTTCCATACATACAAAGTCCTGACACAGAAGCCTTTGTCAGCAAATGCCACAGAGTAGACAATAGGTCTAATAAATACATTAATGAGGGGATAAAAGAGCATGACAATTTAAGAGAGATCAACTCCCAATGACGAAACTAATAAATACAACAAATAGGTATAATTTCATGGACTTTTATATCACCTAGTTTCTTCCTACATATTCCCCACAAAATTCAACATCAACATACCACACGCTGATAAACCACAAACACCTACTTATAAGGCTTTTCTTGAAAATCTTCCAACAAATAAATAGTTTAGTAAAGATCTGTGGGCAACAGGTAATTCTATGAGAGAAACACACACTGGGAAAGAAAATCAGGAGTGCAATCCAGGCTGCATGGTTAAGGTATTCTTTCTACTCACATCCACACACAGGAACACTGCTGTTCATTAGATCTAAGACACAGTGACCAGTAAAGCTGCCTTTGTAGTCTTCCTATGTGTCTCCCCTCCTGCCTGGCCCCTAACTTCTCCTCCATTTCTGTTCAGAAAGGAGCAAGCCTCACATGAGTATCAACAAAGCATGGCATATCAAATTGCGGTAAGACTTACTAAGCACCTCTCCTTGTAATCTGGCTGGGCAAGGCAATCCAGTATGAGGAATAGGTTCCTAAGAGGCAGCCAAAGCATTAGAGACAGCCCTGCTCTTATTATTAGGAGTTGCAGTAAACCCAGCTAAACAACTGACACATATTTGTAGAGAACCTAGGTTGGTCTAACTCATACAGGCTCCCTGGTTGTTGGCTCAGACTCTGTGAATTCCTGAGTCAGGTCACTTGTTTCTGTGGGATTTCTTGTGATGCCCTTGACCCCTCTGCACCCTACAATCGTTCTTCTGTCTCTTCAGCAGGATTCCCCAAGCTCAACCTAATGTTTGTCTGTGGATCTCTGCATCTGTTCCCATCAGTTACTGGATGAAGGCTCTCTGGTGACAACTGGGGTAGTCAACAATCTGATCATAGGAGATGGCCAGTACGCTAAGTATCCACTATTGCTAGGAGTCATCCTTGTTTCAGTCTTTACCAGCAACTGGGGGAAACAGTAGAGAAGAGTGCTGGCAGATCTTTATCCTCAGAGGAGCTAACATTCTTAGGGCATATTTCTAAAATGCATTCCATGTATACTAAACATCTTAAAGGAATGAGATCTTTCCTTAATGACTCACTGCTGTCAACCATCAGTCTCATTATTACAGTAGTTTCACAGTGAGTAGAAAAAAACAGGAAATATGTCAGAGTTTTAGTGCATGGTGGTAAAAGAGCCATTCGTCATACTGCTTCCATGGACAGCTTCCTGGGTAGCAAAGATCTCACACACACACACATACACACACACTCATATACATATATATGTACAAATATGGTATGTTGTGGAAAGCATCATAAGATGCTCAAGTAGATTTCTAGCTACTAAAGACTGGTTGATTTATTCATTTTTTTAAAACTCGAGGACAATTTTTTTAGATTTAAAAAAAAAATCCAGAACATGCAAGCTGTAAATGTCAGCAGCTGCATGGAAGAAGATGGAGATGCAAAGGGGGGAGAATGAATGAAAAAGAAAACACCTTAGGCTGTCTGAGTTAAGCAAGCATGAAAATCGGCCACAAGACAGACTCCAGTCTCACGGCGAGGAGGGAAATTACACACAAAATGAGTACAAAAAATTAGGAAAGCAATAGAAAGAAAAAGAAGAAAAGTCATGCTTTTTCAAGTATTTCAGAGAAGCAGACAACTTATGAAGTGTACGTCTATGGCCTATAAGAGACTTAAAATTTACTGTTAAAAACAAAACCCACTGGGACTGGAAAAACAGATCCGTGGTTATGAGCTCTGACTACTCTTCCACGGGACCTGGGTTATATTCCCAACACTCACGCAGTGGCTTAAAACCATCTGTGATTCCAACCTTAGTGAATCTGATACCCTTTTCTGGCCTCTATGGCAACAGGCATACACACAATGCACAGACATACATGCGGGCAAAACACCCATACACATAAAATAAATATTTTAAAAGTGTTGGCAAAACTTTGGAAAATTTTTATAGAACAAGTAACAAGTAGGAGAAATAAGCAGTGATTTTGTACAAGAGCTTTTCTTTTTAATATTATTTCTTAATATTTCAGCATATTTTATATGCTGACATGTAGACTTTATGAATGTTACCTTGCCTATTCAGTCTGATGTGGTTTACCTAATTTTCCTCATTCTCATTTCCTCTGATCTATTACCTATTATCTCATGTATTAACTCCATAGTATTTAATTTGTTTCTTGTTCATCTTCCTACTTAAATACATATAATATGGAGTCAGAAAATTAGCTCATCTTGATCAGCATTATAATTCCAGTGCAGGTGAAAATAAAGCACATAATTTTTGCTCAATAATTGATTAAGTGGACATTTGTTTTATATATGCATATTACCAAATAAATATGAATAAGTGATTGCATATTGATGGCAGAACATAAAAGAAAAACACAAGGAAGCAAGAAGGGGAGGAAAGAGAAGAGAAACTTGTCAAAGTCTTTCTTGTCCTAGTAGCAAATTACACAGGAAATATCACACATCAACACAAAATTCAGAATGATGGAAGCTAATCAAAGAGTTTCCAAAGCAAGGAGAAAACAAAAACAAAATTTTATTAAAGTAATCAACTTCTGTCAGTAAGTCGGACTAGCATATAGAAGAAATACTGAAAAGGAGGATTATGGGTTAAAATACAAGAAGTTAGGGAGAGCAACTACATTAAAGTATTGCTGTATATACTCACGTTCACACACAGGAACACTGCTATTCCAAATACTGTCCCTTCCGGCCAGAATACAGTAACTAGCAGAATTGCCTTTTAATTTAAACCTAAGGAAGAAAATGGTAGTGTATTGTAAAATGATTTGGCCAGAGTAATACTCATTTTCCAGGTCTAGTCAAAAAAGCATCTGAGGATTTTAAGGAAATGGAACCAGGAGGTGGAAAGGGTGTGTAGATGCTAAGTCACTTAACTACCACAGCTTCCAACAGGTGTGTAAAACAGAACTGCAAGGCAAAGAGACTTGTCTTATAAAGAAGTCCTAGCGTAAACTAAAGAAAGCAGTCAGGGCACAGCCAGATCCTGGACCCTTACTCAGCACTGATCATGCTCAAAGGAATCCAGTACTGTTCACTGTCACAGCTGCAAACACAGACTGCTAACGCAACTCCTTGCCAACTCGGGCACTGGGAAAGCTGAGTTAACTGGTAGGAAATAGAGACTGTTCTTATGTCTGTTTCTGCTATTATTGTCTAGGAAGCTCACTACAGCATGTTGGCCCACTGAAGAATAAGTTACACTTATTTTTCTCAGTAATTCAGAGAAGCAGGCGTCTTTTAAGTACAGGTCTTCTTTTGTTTGTTTTTGTTTCTGTTTCTTGGTCTTTCCTTTTAAAGCACTGGGACTGGAGAGAAAAATGGAAAGAGGAAAGGAGCCAACTTTTGTATAAAGCCATCCAAAATTCTCAAAGGATGTTTAAACTCTTATGTCCTTCTAAGTCTTATTTGGTCCTGGTACTTGGTGTTGCCAAGGATTCTGTGAAGCGCTGGAGAGCAAGTTCTCTGTTGTTGAGGATTGGCAGTTTGACAGAGGCATGTCTGCTGTGAAGAATGTTTATGACCTCACCTAAAATAATAACATTGGATGCTATGCTCCCATATCAGAGTCCACAGCCTGTTGCTGGTCTAATGACACATGACTGGGCTTTAAAACACTGCACCTTATTTTTTGTTTCTCTTATAAATTCTATTAATAAAGCATTATTTTTTCCTAAAACATTGCTAAATACATTGTTATGTGTATATGCTTTTGTAACATATAATTTCCCTCAAAATTACTAGCATTATTTTCTATGTAGGAAATGAGTTTTTTCACTTAGTGCATTACCTATATATTTAAAACCAGTAGATACACTTGTTTTTGAATCTGTCATTTAATAAACGCCCCAGTTTTTCCTTCATATCTCCTTTTATGAATTCCACAAGTCACCAGTTTTTCCTATAAACAATATCAGAAGCTGTCTTCCCCACACCAACCTTCCCATACTTCGGAAACCTCAGACAGACTGGGCCTGCTTACACTTACCCTTTATTACAAACGAAGGACACTTTAGCCCCAATTTGAAGGTTTAGTGGAAATAGTACATTCCCATTAGGAAGCTGGTCCAGGAAAGGACCACAGGATTTCACTGGAGAAAAAGAGTCAAACAGAAATAATAGCAGTGTGTGAAAAATAAAAACACAAGCCATGAATATCAAAGCAGATGACAGTCCAGAGACCTGCACATGTGGAGCCACAGGACTCTAACGTATAGCCTGTTCATAGTGCTATAGCAGACACTGTGACTATATCTGATAAAGCGTGTTTATTGTTTTTTCTCTAAGATGTACACTAAGGTTAAAACATTCCCAATTTCTTTTCTGTTTTGTTTTTCAAGACAGGGTTTCTTTGTGTAGCTTTGGCTGTTGAACTAGCTCTGTTGGCCAGGCTAGCCTTGAACTTTAGAATATTGGTCTAGAAAAATGACTTTCTTAAGGATTTCCAAATATTTTTTATGTTATAATAATTGCTTTGAGGGCTCGTCTTTCAAGAGTTTCCCTTGACTAATACATGAGCTGTGATAGTTAAAGAATAGGCTGGTTAAATTTCTATTGATTCTCAGTTTCATACTATATATTGCCTTTTGATTCTTATGGGTAAAAACATGAACACTATAATTTCTTTTCTCTAGGACAGTGGTTCTCAACCTTCCCCAAGCTGTGATCCTTGAATAGCAGTTCCTCATGTTCTGGTGACCTCCACCCAGAAAATTTTTTTCGTTGCTACTTCATAACTGTAATTTTGTTACTTTTACTGAATTATAATGTAAATATTTTTGGAGATAAGGTTTGCCAAATGGGTCCCAACACATAGATAGAAAACCACTACTCTAAATAAATTAAAAAAAAAAAAAGAAAATCACTGCTCTAGTGGCTCTAATTAAGTTCTGCCACTTGGAGGACATATATATCAAACTAAAGGACAAGAGATGTGTAGACACCTTTATGCATCCAGGGACAGCATCAGTTGAGGCAGACTTGATGATCTTTCAAGTGACCAGCAGTCAGCAACACTAATGACAGCAAGGATTGGCTCTATCCTGGAAGTAGTAGCAGGGTCTGGCTGTGTCAGCCTTGACAGAGGTTGACAGTGTCAACCAGGGTAGGGCCAGCTGTGTCAGCTCTATTCCTGTAGTAACAGTAGTTCCCTGATCTTTGGCAACATTGTTTTCCTTTTATTCTTCCTGTTTGTCTAATATCTTTATAACCCATTATCACCTACAGGAAAGTCTTCATTCCTTGGGAGTATCTGCCAGATGGAAAGACTTGGATTTTAATTTTTGCTCTGCAAGTTAGTATCTATATCATCTTGGAAAATTATCTAACCCCTAAGCCTCAATATGAAAGAAATAATAACTACCCCATTGCTTCATTTTAGGAATTAAATATGCATGCATTTAATATGACTAGCCACGGATCACTCATTTATATTGGTAAATATTATGCATATGAATAACTTTTGAGGGCTGGAGATGGCAATACATGAAAAGAACTTCTGTGCATGAGAATTCCCAGAATGGATCACATTACTTGTTCCTATTTATCTCATTCTCAATTTGAATGGATGTGTTGTGAAGGGGCACAAACACTCACAACACATGACCCTTCTTGATTTCACATTCCCTCCCAAGAAAATTTATTCATCCAACCTGTTCACCATACACCCTCTTCCAGAACCAACCCTTATCTGGTCCTCCACACCCCATGGAATGCAGGCTTCCCAAGCACTGATTAGACTCACCCTTGAAGCAGCTTGGTAATTTTGGCTCCCATTTGTTTAGGTCTTGACACTGTATACTGCTGATTCCTTCCATGATAAAGCCAGGCTGACATCTAAACTCCACAGTATCTCTTAAGGAAAACAAGCTTTTGCTTTCAGACACCATGACTGCATTTTCAACATGGGGAGGTGTACATTTGCCAAGTTCAACGCACTGAGGAGGAGGGCCACTCCAGACTCCAACTTCACCATCATTGCTGGTACAGTGTAAGGATGGCTCACCCACCAGATTAAAGAGCTTTTTCCCTCTATCACCAGTTTGGCAGTGATAGGTGACCACCATTCCATAATAAAAATCTTCTGCAGGAGCACGGAACTCTCCATTGGTAATGGCTGGGGGTGCTTCACAAGGAATTCCTGGCCAAAAAAACAGATTAAAGTTTATATAAATTGGGGAAATCCAATGAATCACTGAATTGAAGATATTTACACTCATTATAAATGAGTATAAATGTTCATTGAAAGCATTTAATATTTATTGACTTGTAGATGAGGTTTAAAATGTTGTTATTTAGGTGCATATAACGTGTTCACCTACTTTTTCCTATAAACTTTTTTTACTTTTTTCTTATAAACACATGAAATTACAAATACAATTGATCTCTCCATTTGAAAAAGCTCTTTGATCATATTACAGAGTTTATATCAGCTTTCAGATTTTTCTACTTGTCTATTAATTTGCAAATCTGTTGTCAATTGAAAGGAAAACTTTAAAAATTATATTAACAACAAAGTTTTTAGAGCATAAGATGGAAAAAATGTCATCATAATACACAAAGATTTCTTGAACAGAAAAATCAGTAACTAGAAGGAGAATATTAGAAAGTTAACAATATTAAAATGAAGAACTTCTATTTTCAAAAAGAAAAAAAAGACTGGGCATAGACTAAAAGAAAACATACTTGTTTTATTTATTGGAAAATATGAAACTATGTACAAGAATTTCTATAAAACAAGTAAATAAACTAGTAAATAATGTACACAAGGTTTGAACAGTCACTCCACAAACATGGAGAGTTAGTATCAATAAAAATTAAAATAATTTTAGACATTTTGATCATTAGTATTATGCTATGGAAACAACAGAATGATCTGACTATCAAGATCATCATCATGTAACTATGGACAATGTTATATGACTTATTTGTGAGATGAGATCTCGGTCTGGTGGACAAAAATCTACAGCGAATTATTGTAAAAGAGATTGAATTGGTTTATAGGTCTAGAAAAACTCACATAACAGGAAATGATCTTCTGCAGGACATAGCCTACTATCAAATATACCAAAATTTCCTCTAGCTTTCCCCCAGAGACTTAGAGCTATTTAGTGGACTTAAGTTATAGGAATTTTAGATAATTAAACAGATAAAAGTATAGACACAGCTATAACTAGTTATACTGTGTTTTAATCTGAGAATACATGCAGTTTGAAATTTGATTCTTTTTTACATAAAATGTATATGTTTAAATGTTCCATATGTTGCTGTGGGATAATGCTTTCGTATACTGTAAAAATTTGTTAATGGTATTGGTTCAATAAAACACTGATTGGCCAATAGCCAGGCAGAAAGTATAGGTGGGGCAACCAGACTAGGAGAATTCTGGGAAAAGGAAAGGCCAGATGCAGTCACCACCCAGATGCAGAGGAAACAAATGAGAATGTTGCACTGATAAAAAGTACCACACCACGTGGCTAAACACAGACAAGAATTATGGGTTAATTTAAGTTGTAAGAGCTAGTTAATAATAAGCCTGGGCTAAAGGCCAAACAGACTTTAATTGTTATAAGCCTCTGTGTGTTTCTTTGGGACTGAATGGCTGTAGGTCTGGGCAGGACAGAAACTTTACAATATGTGAAAGTGTAGGTTAGCCCACAGCTTCACTAACCTTGAAAAATATGGACAAAAATTTTATTAATTGGCCAAGCAGGATGATAGTTATATTAGAGATTGAAAAACAAACATAACTTAAAGTAAACTGAGTTAAAAGTAAGATTGGAAGACTTTTTACATTTATACATTCTACAGTTAGAAAAGGAACATCCCAGGACCAAGGAGAACTTAAAGAATGTTGTAGTTCAAGAATGTTGTAGTTGTCTTCTGTCTTACGGTTACTATTGCTGTGATGAAAAAACATGACCAAAAGCAACTTCAGGAGGAAAGAGCTTATTTGGCTTACATTTTAAAACACATTCTACTCAGAGAAACAAAGGCAGGAACTCTAATTAAGAAGAAACCTGAAGGCACAAGCTGATGCAGAGGCCATGGAAGCTTACGTTCCTCATGGCTTGCTCAGCCAGCTTTTTTATAGAACCTAGGACCACTAGCCCAGGACGGACACTACCCACCATGGACTAGGCTCTCCCACATAGATCACTAATTAAGAAAATGCCTTACAGGCTTATGGAGGCATTTTCTCAACCAAGAATTCCTATTCTCAATATGACTCTAGCTTATGTCAAGTTGAGACAAAACTAGCCAGAACATCTTCATTTTCTTGAAGAACAGATTAAATAAGAGGAATTTTAATAACAATTTTTAAAATCCGTTATAGGCTTTAGGTTTACATCTGTGATAGAGTACTTCCTAACAGGCATAAGGTCCTGGGTTCAATCTTAGATCTGCAAAAGTTGTATAATTCCAGAGAAAATTTAAAGTACATAAGTAAAGGTGATAGAAATAAAAATTTCAACTTACTCTCACAAATAGGTGCCTCATTATCCCAAATGAGACCGTTATCTGAGATTATACACACAGCAGTGGAGGAACCAATGAGGCGGTATCTATACACAGAATAAAGAATGTTAATTAATTCATAAGTAATTGCCTGCTTAAATTGTTGCTTCCCAGAGATTACTATCTTGAAAGCTTCAATACATTTTTTCTTTTCTTGTCAAACACCATGACTTCTGAAATCTTACCTCCTTCTTTGAACTTTTTGATTTTCTTCTTAATGCCTCCCTAACTAAATAAGATTTTTCTTTTTATTATGTTATCATGTAATCTGCAATAAATTATAGTTGTTTCCTATAAATCTTAATTTTAAAGAGATTACAAGCTTCTTGAGGGCAAAAGAAATGTCATGTGTATGTATATATTATACTAACATGAATGAATTAATGTATACCTTGAAAACAGTAATGTGAAAGCCTAGATAAGGGTATGCCTTATCAGCAAGATTCATTGATGTAGAACCTAGGAACTCAAATCTGACCGAAGTTGAACAAAAACAGCAATACTTGATTAAAGTCAGAAATACTCAATTAACATGCTGTAAGTTGTCTGTCATAAAATTAAAACAAATCATGACACTTATTTCACAGCAACTTAACTCATAACTATTATGTTAGATTTTTAAAAAAACATGTCATTTTGGGAAGTGCAACTGTAAAGAATTGTTTTTTAAATTTCACTTGCTCCTTTTCCTCGATGAAAGAAACTTTTTAAAATTTTTTTTCCTCTTTCCTTTTTTTTTTCCTTTTTGTTTGTTTGAGACAGGATTTCTCTGTGTTTCTTTTTGACTGTTCTGGAACTCATTCTGTAGACCAGGCTGGCCTTGAACTCAGAGATCCGAATGCTGGGGAAAAGTCATGTGCCATCAGCAACCAGTGGGAAAGAGGATACAATTTTACATGTAAGCTTGTGTATTTTCTACCACAGAAAGAACTAAAATAGACACAAGATCTCTTGTTCTGTCTAGTTACTGTGACACTCACTTTTCATCTTCCCAGTCCCGATTTTCCTAGCATATTCTTATTGCTGGTGACTACTTCTATAATTATATAATTTTTAAAAAGTTATATAAAGAATCATATAGAATGTAACCATATATGATTAGCTTTCTACTCAGCATGATTACTGGAGGTTTATCAAGCAATTCTTTCTGTTATAGAGCTCGTGGCATGAATGTACCACCATTCACTTAACCACTTACCTACTGATGGATATTCAAGTAAGTCCAAAATCAGGGAGATCCATAGAGAGAAGTGGGTAGTTTTACAGAGATAGGACAGGGGAAGCTTTCCTTTGAGAATGAAAAAAATGCTTTTGTGCTCCTAATCTTACAGAAAAGACTGCCTTTCACCACTGAGAACAATGTTAGTTGTAGGCTTGTTATATGTGGAAAATATATGCAGAATCTCTAATCCTTTTATGACTAACTTTTAAAGAGCTTTTCTAACAATGAAAAATTTGAATTTTTTTCAAATGTCTTTTCTTCTGGTAATGGCTATGTTTTTACACCTCATTGTTAGTGTGATATATCACATTTTATTTGTACATTGTTAAGTTTTCATTTCAGGGATAAATCCCACTTAATCATGATGTATGACAGTGGGTATGTTGTATGAGTGTACATGGGGTCTGTGTGATAGTGCTGAGGTAATATTTATTTGTATTTTAATAAACAACGCCTGTCGAAGTTCAGAAAGTAAAACAGCCACAATGATCAGCCTGACAAATCAAACAGTCATGACACACACCTTTAATCCCAACAGTCACACTAGTTTGCCATAGAAACCGGGTGATAGTGGTGCATGCCTCACTTACAGTCTCATTCTGAGATTCCTGGAGGTAGAATCGCCATTTTGGACTGAGGTAGAGGTAAGAGCCAGTGACTGATTGTTTTGCTTTTCTGACCTTTAAGTTGAACTCCCATTTCTGTCTCTGGGTTTTTATTAATTGTGCTACATAGCGTGCTCGTATGTGTGCACAAGGAACTCAGAGTAAGATGCCAGGCATCTTCCTCTATGACTCTTAGTCCACTGCCTTGAGAAAAAAAATCTCACTGGTCTGAAAACTCACTCTTTTGGCTCGGCTTCCTGGCCACCAAACTCTTAGGATGTGCCTCTCTCTCATTCTCCCAGTGCTGGGATTACAGGCACATGGAGCCATGGCTGGCTTTTTACATGGATGTTGAAGCTTTATCTCATTAGCTCCCATGTAACCACTTATAAATTCTGTCTGTCTGATAGTAATTTAGAGAATGTTTATAAGATGTTTATTAAGGATATTGTTCAGCAATTTTCTTCTGTTGTCATGTCTGGCTTTGGTATTAACATAGTACTGGCTTCATAAAATAAATTAGAATTCAGTGGTGAAGTCATTAGGTCCTAATGCTTCCTTTGTTGAAAGGTTGTAGTAAGTAAATGGAACTTATCTAAGAATTTATCTTTTGCCTCTTCAGCAACATTCAACGATATGGCTTTGCTCTCGAACATGTACCTGTAATGCTAACTCACAGCCATCACAGTTTCTTCAACTTCTTTCTCACAGTTTGGTTCATGATTTATCAATGCAAAGAGTGTGTGCTTAGTCTGTACCATACCACCCAGTGAGTGTTTTACTTCCTATGTATGTTGCCATAGTTAGGAACATCCTCATAGGCTCATAGTTTAAAGGCTTAGTCTCCCAGGCTATGAATTTATTGGACTGCTGTAGAATCTTTAAGAGGTGGGCCTTAAGGGACAAAGTTAGGTCACCAGCTATATGCCTTTGGAGAAGATACTGAGATCTTAGCCTCAAAGTCTTTCTTTTCTTCATGGCAACCATGAGGTGAATGGTTTACCTTGTCCCTGCTGTAATGGACCATGCCACCTTAGATCGAACCACGAGAGTTAAGTGAACATGAACTGAACTGAGATTTCTATAACTGAATCAAAAGATACCTTTCTTCCTTTTAACTATCTCAAATATTTTGTTATAGTAATGGAAAGTTGACTAATGTGTGCTGTCTTGATTATTCAGCAGGGATAACATATCTTTTTCACCTAGTCATGTTATATTTTTGTATATTTCAATCAAGAATTAAACACTTATATTCAAGCCTTTTAAGGCTAGGCAACATTCTGAAGGTGTGGACTTGCTGTAGAGCCCTTGTGTAGCATGCTTAAAGCCTTGAGTTCAACCTCTAGCACAAACAAATCAAAACACAACCAAAACTCAAATCAGGAAGTAACAAACTAGATGTCTTTCCTGAGTCCTGGATATAAGGTGGTACTGTTGTTCCAGAAGTCTTGATGAAGAGCTATTGTTGCCAACTCACCCTGTATTACAAGTATAATTAATACTGGATCCAAATTTAATGTCTGTGAGTACATGCACTATGCCATTCTGAGGATCTTTAGGATTTGCACATGATTTACCTGTGAGAAAGAAATAGGATTTTTGAACCAAGTAAAGTAAACTGAACTTTTCTTAGTTTATGAAGTTCTAACCTGACTGTAACTTACTGTATATAGAGCATACAAAATTGTAACATTTCATAGATTTTTGCTACTTTGAGGAAACTCACCAGACACTTCTTTCCAAAAGAACTCCCATCCAAGTTCTTTCTTATTTTCACATGGTGACTTCCAAAAACATGAATACTTCATTTATAACCAAGGCATTCTTTTAAGTGCTCCAATTCACAGGCCTCAAAGTCTGGGATTTTTTCCATCTCTTAGTTATTAAATACACATTTCTTTGCTTTGGAATCACTAGTTACTTAGTGACACTTGTGCAAAGTTGGATACACTAAGTGAAATATCCTGAGGGTATTTTTCATCAATCATGCTCTGTGATGGTCATTATTACTAAATTTATCAACAATTGAGAAGCCAGAAGCAGAGAGTAAAGGTATGACTTACAAGAATGAGTCAATGTACTATATATGCCTTAGATAATATTATTAATGACATGTGTCATAATTTTAAAATGGAGACAAACTTGAAACAGACTCTACTATTTGCCACAAAGTATCTACTCTCTGTCATCTTCCTCTGCAGTTACTCACGTATACACTTATTTTCAGCACTTGTCCAGTCTGAGTTTTGTTCACATACGATGGAGAACTGCCTCTTGATATATCCTGGGTGACATTCATACATCAAAGATGTTCCAATGGGAAACTCGGATTCATCAGTTTGAGTTATACGGTTGGCAAATGGAAACCATGATGGGGCTTTGCACTGGCCTGGAGAACGAGACCACAGCAACATTACACTTAATGGAGAAACTTTTATTCCACCTTTTCTTTCTCTCCAATATACTTCATAGATGTGATCAAAGAAGAAAAAGAATACTCTAATAGTAGTAAAAGGAATGATTCTTTTAATATTCTTTTTAAAGATTTATGTATTTATTATGTACAGTGTTCTGTCTACATGTACACCTGCAGGCCAGAAGAGGGCACCAGATCTCATTCAAATGGTTGTGCACCACTGTGTGATGACTGGGAATTGACCTCAGGACCTTTGGAAGAATAGGCAGTGCCCTTAACCTCTAAGCTATCTCTCCAGTACCTTTAAAATGGGTATTTTTACAGTAAGCTTTTAAAATAATTTTAGTTAGCATCTATAAGAAAGTCTCTGCTTTAAAAATGCCCCTGCTTTAATAATTTTTAAAAGATTTATTCATTTTATTCTGTGACTCTTATGCTTAAATAAATATATGTGCACCCCATGCATGTAGTGCCTTTGGAGATCAGAAGACAATGTTGGATCCCCTGGAACTGGAGTTATGGTTACCTCTGCTCTTTTTTTTTTTTAAAGCAATGTGTATGTAGCTTAATTCACATATAACATATTAGTATAATGTAGGTAGGACAAATAGTCTTTCGCTGAAAGGAAACTCCAACATAGTTTCAAAGTTCAACCAGTCAGAGAGTACCTGCGTTTAGATTTCATCCATCCCATCCTCACTTTTGATTCTCTCCTGTACCAAAACAGACTCATGCATTGCATCCTTCCTCTCAGTCTCAGTCAACCAACCAGCTCTCCTGGCCCACGATCTTCCTCTCAGGCATTCAGGAGTGGATCGGCACTTTGGCCAAGGGATGGGGGTGGGGGGAATAATAAAATTCAAAAATTGTAACTGTGTTTCATTTTGTGAATGTATTTTTCAATACATGTTTTTATTTAACTTCTAGCCTCAGTTATCTTCCCTTAAGGCTTAGCAGAATTAAATTAACTGACAGTTAGGGTCAAATAACAAGTAATCAAGAATTATCTGTTAGAAAAAAATCATTTTAACTTTGAAAATATTACATTTTTGCTATGACTTCATTTCCTTCTAAAACTCTCAATTAATTAATTCAAATTTTAAGGGGGTAGATTAAGGCATACAAAAAGTTTTGAACAATGTATTTCTAGTTAATTTTTAAACTGACTGCACCTTGTTTTGCATATGGTCAGCTTTGGTAACTCCAAAATGTATGCTAGTTTAAAATCATTTTATATACTTCCTGATTTTGATGGGTCTGCTTGTTCTACTAGATACTAAAGAGTCATATTCAAATATTCTATTTTATAATAAACTTTTCTATTTCTTTTCATTATACCCACCATTTTATATCCTGTATTATTAGAACATGCAAATTTAAATTGCTATATTTCATGAAAGATTAACTTTTATCATAATAAAATATCTCTAATTTTCACAACAAATCTTGCTTCATGTTCTATTTTTATTTGTGAAATAAAACTAAATAGGATACCATATTTAATATCCAGTATTTCAATTGTTTTATTTGATTTGTGTGTTTGTGTGTGTGTGTGTGTGTGTGTGTGTGTGTGGTATATCTGTGTCTGGTTTGTATGCAAATATGCATTGTGTGGTTGCAGTTGCATATGCATGTGTGTGTGCACATGGAAGCCTGAGGTGATGTTGAAAATCATCCTCTAACAACTCTTGCAATTTTCTCAATGAAGCAGGGTCTTTCAGTGAAACCCAGACCTTGCTGATATGGCCAATCTTGCTGGCCAATTACCCTGGGATCCCTTGTCTGTACTTCAGAGGCTGGAATTACAGGTGGGCTGACACATTCACCCAGAATCAACATAAGTTTCTGGGGATTTGAATATCAGTTCTCATCCTTGTACAACAAGAACTTTATCTGCTGAACTATCTCCCCTACCCTGTATCAATACTTTTAAATATAAACACATAATACTTATTTAAACACATACTATCATAATGCCATTTTCAAGCTAGCTTTACATTGGTTTGTTTTGACATGGTGTTTTCCATCCTTTCATATTCACCGGCCGTTATTAATTTTGAATGTGTTACTCTATTACTTTTGTGTCATTATAACAGATGTTTCAAACTTAGGTTACAATGTCTTTAGAGTCACCAATTTTTAACGGCATTCTTTGTATAAAAGAATATATAATAGTTCTATTTATTAAATAAGTATGTTCAAAAAGTATAGGTCTCTGGTCTATATCATAATTATGCAAAGAGATTTGAGGCCTTATACAACTTCTCAAACTTTGGACTGAAAACACCCATTTCATTTCCTGTTCCACATTCATTTTCATGTGATACTCTTTCCCTAGCAACTGCGGAAATCTAAATTTACAAAGCTCTGGTCTAATATAATCTATCTCTGGAGCCAGATGCTACTCTGAACTGGTAGCTTGTACTGCATAGTACCTGAAAGATATGAATAGCTGTTGTTTTCACTGAAATTTTAAAAATCTTCCTGTGCTGGTTAAGTCTTTGTCAACTTGACAAAACTAGAGTTATTTGGGAAAAGGGAACCTCAACTGAGAAACTGCTTTTATAAGACTTGCCTGTGTATATGTCTGTGGGGGCATTTTCCTGATTAATGGCTGACTTAGGAGGGCCTTGCCCACTGTGTTTGATGCCATTCCTGGGCAGGTGGGCTTGAGCTGTAGGGGAATAAGCTAGTAAGTAACACTTCTTTGTGGTTTCTGCTTCCAGGCTCTTGAGTTTCTGCCTTGGCGTCCTTCCCTAGGTGATGAACTATAACCTGTGAGCCAAATAAACCTATCTCCTCCCTCCATCCCCCCATGATGCTTTTGGTCACTGTTTATCATAGCAACAGAAAGCAAACTTAATACTTTCAAAGAACTCCTGTGAGTCTGCCATGGCTCTCATGCTCCCTTATCCCATAGCTTCAGACATTTGGTCATGTGACAATTTCAGTCTTTAAATAGGAATTGACTATTAATAGTTAATAAGATTAAGACGAAATCTTATCTTACTGTTTTTGTCTTTTGTAACTTTGTGCTTTCATTTTGTTTTGATTAGTGATTATATTTATTACTATTACTTACTTTTATTGTACTTTTGTTTTTGTTTCAAAAATAACATGATCTCAACATATAAACATCTACTAACAACAATATAATTTCCCCAACAAGAATTATAGAAAATGCTAATTTCCAACCTTTGTTCTATTACTATCAAACATTTAAATACAACATGTACTTTAAATCACTGCTAATCATATTCAGTACAGACACTGTATGCTGTTTGTTGAATGCCAGTTACTTGCTACTAGACTGGATGCTAATGGCAATGGACTCCCTCGTGTAGTTAAACTCAACAAAGTCTACCTAGAAAGGCATAATAGGCTAAATGCTATCGTTTGTCTATAAATATCCATTACTGTCACTCTTGCTTTCCAGTTGTGGGAGCTGTTTTTGGAGGTGGTAGGTTGGGACACAGGGCCAGTCTGACAGTGTGGGACAGTAAGGGCATGACTTTCAATGACATATCCACTTAGGGGTCAAGCCAGTGTTCTCTATTTCTTGTTCTGTTACCAAGCAAGAAGCCAGACAGTCTTCCACTGCTGCAGAGAGAGCTGCTCCGTTTGCCATGCCTTTTCAACCAGCATGGACTGAACCCTTTGAAAACATGAGCCAAAATTCTCAAAAAAGCTGATTCTCCTTTACGTTGTTTATGTTAGCTATTTTGTCATAGTGACTAGAAAAGTAATGCACTAAGTACTTCCCAAAGATATCCATGTTCTCATCCCTAGAGCATGTAAGATGACATTTTGGGGTAAAGTGGCTGTATAGGTATTAGTAAACATTTTAAGATCTACAGGTTACCCTGGATTTCCTGCATAAACACTAAATGTATTCACAATAGTTCTTAGGTAAGAGGTTTGCAGGAGGTGGAAGGACATTTAAAGATGCAAAGCTGCTGGCCTTGAAGAATAGGAAACAGCCATGAGTCAAGAGATGTGGGCATCTGGAAGCAGGAAAGAATAAGGAAACTCATTTTCTTCTGTGGCCTACAGAGCAACACAGTTTTCCAGACTTGGGAATCCAGAATTAACTATTAGAGAATACATTTCTTTTGTCTAAGGTCATAAAGTTTGGGGAAATTTGTTTCAAGATGAAATTGAAAAGACATAGTATTAAAAACAATAGATTCAGAGAGACTTGGTCTTTTGAACTTTTGAATGTCCTTCATTCCTAGAGCTTTGATGTCATGTGCAAATTACTTAATATGTCAGAGTCTCTGTTTCATCTTCTTGAAGATGATGACATTATTTACTTAGTAGGCTCCTTAGGATTATCAAAGGAAGCTTATATAAAACATTTACTAGTACCACACACACAGAGCGGTGCTGGTAATTTGTAATTGTTATTATCAGTGTACAGTACGCAGTTAAAGTGGGCATATGGAATTTTTTCCAAGAGTTTATTTATTTTTTTTGCCAAAACTTGTAGGAAATGAGCCTATTTTGTCAGGAAAGTCGTGGAAGACCTTGCAACTGATGATTACTGAGATCTCCTAAACAATACATTTCACATTCAGCTAGGACTTATGGTTTATACCTCATAAATTCTTATCATGGTTCCTAACCACAAATCAATAGACATAGAATTCCTAGAGCTTATATATTTTTTCCTCTTGACAATGGTTAGAGTTAGAATTGGGGACCAATTTTGCATTGACTATTAAAGTAGAGGATTCACTTCAAAAAAGCTCACATTCCTAATTTTCCTCGAATATTAGACTGGCTGTGGCTGTCCCCACACACTCCACTGAATTATGGGTGTCCTGTTCTCTGTTTTCACTTGCATATTTCATCACGTTCAACCTGACTTCCTGCTAGACTACAACCTGACTACCTACTAGACTACAACCTGACTTCCTACTAGACTACAACCTGACTACAACCTGACTACCTACTAGTACTATCAGACTACAGCTCTTTCCACATCTGTTTCCTCCAAACATGCATTCATTCTCTATCTCTGAAACATTTTATGTGGAACCTTTCATTTCTCTCTAGCTTCCACTCTTCTTCCAGGTCTCAGCTAACATACCACTTTCCAGACCTGAGAAATATCAAACTTAAACTACCTGTTCTTACTTTACCCATTGTCTTTCCCCCTATTATATCAATAATATTTTATTATTATAATTTTTTATTTTAAATATGCATACATTTGATAGAATTTCTTTCAATAGCTATCAGAGATAGATAATGTGAAGGTAATAGACCAAATAACCTTTGTTCCGATATATAAATACCAAGTTCAGAGCTTAGCACCCAATTATAAGCAACAGGTGTATTTTGTTGCCATAAGCAAATAAATAATATACTATAAAATAAGTACCATCAAGAGTCCAGACAGACTACATCCCAAGAAGCCCTCATTTGCAGTCTTGATTAGAGTTCATATATTTCTAAGTTTCAAAGTTATTACCACTTTGAAAATACTGTATAACAGCAAAACCAAAACAAAACAAAACCTATTAAGGGAAAAAAAGAAACAATTCTTGTGAAAACCACTCTGATAAACACGGAGAAAAGAGAAAGAACATCAACAAAACCACTGAGTGAAAGTTTCTGTGATTTCAAATATCCTGTCTTCACCTTTTCTCTAGCTGAAAAGTGGGATGAATACGATGCTGATAATTGTCTCCCCCATTAGTCCCAACAAGGGAATCAATCCCAAGTGCAGCATCCAGTTAAAAGAAATTTTCATACAAGTATTAGTCTTTGTTTTCTCTTTGGTCTAGTTTTTCAAAGTAATTACTTTGAGATTTACCCAAGGTATATGTATTTCATTGCTGAGAAATATTCAGTTATATAAATAAATATGCCATAATTTAACTGAAGGAAATTTTGGTTCTTTCTATTTACTGGTGATTACCAACAGTGCAGGGATGATGGAGGTGGAGAGAAGGTTCAGCAGATAAGAGCTCTTTCTCATTTTCCGGAAGATCCAGGTTTAATTTCCAGCACCCACATGAGAGCTCATAAACTTATGCGACTCCAGTCTAAGGAAACCTGTTGCCCTCTTCTGGCCTCTGTGGGCACTACATGCATATTGTGCACAGACATACATGCAAGCAAACACTAATACACACTAATAAAGATAAAATAAAAATAAATAAAATCTAAAAACAACAAAACAAAATACCACCCAGCTACACAAACTAACATAGATGTCTCTGTTGAACACAGATTTTTATTTAAGTAAAAACCTGGGAGTAAAATGCCCAGGTAAATGATAAGATTTTTTTGAGACACTGCCGAGTCATTTTCCAACAGCAGTCCCTTATCTGCCAGTGAACAGCACATGACAACTTTCACTACTTCTTGCTAACAATATACAGTACATTGAGTCTGTACCTGTACCCATGCATGTACACTGTTATCTTACTATGTTTGTTTTTTGGTTTTTTTTTTTTTTTTTGTCCTGGAAGATGTAACCTACATTCAAATGTTCCATTTAAGACACTGATTCATCCTGAGCCATCACAATTGTGAACTCATGACCACTTCCATGACTGCTGAAATAGGAGCTCTCAACCTGAGCTACACTCTATACTCGGCTCCTATTCTACATACTTTACCCTTTAGTGGAGAGATTCAGAAACATTGCTTAAGTAATTTTATTAGTTAAAATAGAGAACACAAAATTTAAAAAATAAATTTATAATTATGGTCTGCATAAATATTTAAAGGAATGCTATACAAATGAAATAAAATCTTATTATTTTTACTATTTTTTTCTTGTTATTATTTTTATTTTATTATTATTTTCAGGAGGTTTCTCTGTGTAGTCCTGGCTGTCCTGAAACACACTCTGTGGTCCAGGCTGGCCTCAAACGCAAGAGATATATCCACTTACCTCTGCCTTTGAATGCTGGGAATAAAGATGTGTGTCACTGTTGCCTGGCTTGGAATAAGCATTTTAAATACTTTACTAGACACAATGATCTAATATCATTAGTTAACACTTAAGTGACAAAATATTATCACAGATTTTGTTAATATGATTGTATATAAGGCTGTATTTCAACTACTATTCTTGATACTTTCTAGATTTTTGTTGTTGCTATTTGTTCTTATATGATCAGCACTTCCTCCTCTGAGTGTCTTTCACATACAACTTACATATGTGTGTATCCTTAGGCAAATAAAGGGGTAGTCAGTGCAGCCACCTTGTTTTCTGGAATTACTCTTACTATAATCATCTTTAGTGAGTATTTCTCAGTGCAGGACATATAAGAAGGTTATTTTGTCTATCATTAGATAATATAAACTACAAATCACACATCTGAGAACATGGAAACGGAGATGCATTATGAAGCACAGGAAACAAACTCTAACTCCCCTTCTTTGTCTTCACGCAGCAGTTAACAGAAACGGTCCTACAAGAGCATCTTAGGGCATGCCAGAGTCCACCAACTCCAACAGTATTCTAGTAACACTTAACTACTGTACCATTTTATGGCCCGGATTGTGGTTTATTTTAGTGAATGGTCTATGAGCCTGGGAAGAAGGTATATTCTACTGTTGTGCCTTGCTGAGTTCTGCTATGTCCTTACTGTTTTTCTGCCTGCCCCATCTGTCTAGTTCTGGTAGAGGGTTATGGAAGCTTCCAACTCTAAGAGTAGATTCATTTATTGCTGTTTACAGGTCTGCCCATTTTTCCTTCATACATTTTGATAATGCTGTCAGAGGCACACATGTGGACATTTGTTAAGTGACTTGCTGGATTCAAGGTCCTCAGCTGTTAAGTAGTAGAGACTGGAACCCCAGAACCAGTTTCTCTATGAGTGTGCCTTTGAGGTGAAGCTCTCCACCACAGGTTGTTTAAATCACAAAGTGTTGTGGCCAATGGAAACATTCTAGTAGTATTCTCTTCATTTCAACTCTCTAAAGTACTCCATAGCCTGAGTCACACCTTGGTAAATTTCCTTTGTACATGATAATGCCTGGGGTCATAACAGTATCTTAATAACTATGGCAAAACTGTAGCACCATTTCAGCCAGATGATGACAAAGCCACAAAGATCCCTAAGCACTGATAGAAGATTGCCAACATTCTTGGTAACCTTCGTTTCTAAAAACTTAAATTTTATCATATATTGTCACCTGACCAGTTACTATGTGTACCTAGGGAGATAAATATTTAAACACAATATTTTGCACAAATTTTGTTTTCATTTTTTCTGCTCTCAGAAAAGAAGGTTCAATTAATATATGTAATCGGTCTAGAGGAAAAGTTTAAACCCCGAGTTGAAGAAAAACACTTATTTCAACTGTTAATGAGTCTAAACAATGCAAAAAGTCTTCAAGGAAGTCTTCCTCTGAGAAAATTCTTATTGAAGACATAGAAAGGGTACTTAGAATTTCCATAGTTGGTAAAAAGGGCACTCTATTTTGCGCTTAACTATCACTAAAGTGTAATATGCAAATTCTACAGTCCTTTTTACTTGCAAATATTTCACTGCAACTTGGGTCTTCCTTGTTCTCCAAATCCTAACCTAGGGTGGGAGTGGCAGGATCTCCCTTAAAGTAGGGACTCAACTGAGTTGAAGAGGATTTGGGGCAAGAGATAAAGTAAACAATCCTTAGACCTGTTTGTCTAGGCCTTCAGAACAATGCATAAATAACGGCTCCAGGATAGAGGTAAATTAAGCAGCAGAACACGGGTCAGACAACTTGTCAACACCAATTAAATAACAACGTCACGAAATACCTCAATATCTCAGATTCACAGATGAGGAAACACACAGGCATATTAACTTTCCTCACAACTAAATTCTAAGATTAGAAATTGAGTCTCGTAGACTTTCATGACTTCCCCAACCACCACACCGCTTCCTTTCACTACAATTGGCTCTACACTTAGTACAGACAAGCCGGTGGGAGACCTACCGACTGAGTACAATCTGGGTTGAGAGCGCCACACTCACCCATGGAAAAGGGGCGCTGGGCACCGTAGGGACCTAGACCAGTGCTGCAGTCTCTGCTGCGCCCATTTACCGCGGGTCCCGGTGACCTCGCGTCGGTGCCTCCCCGCACCTCCCTGCGGCTCACCCAAAATTGATGGCGGAAGGAACAGCAGCAGGATGGCCAGCTGGGCTCCGCCGTAGCAGAAAGCTCCAAGGCGCCCCACAGGGCCCGGACGCTCTGAGCTCCGAGAAGCCTTCATTTTCTTCAACACTGGTATCAAGCCCAATCTAGCGGCAAAGAGAAGGCAACCACGCCCAGGGTACAGGAAATGGCGCTGAGTTCCGGAATAAAGCTATTCAACACCGCTTCCCGTTGTTGGGCGGGGTCTTGTTTATTACTTATTCGTGGGACTTCTATGAAATATCTCCTGGGAGATCGCTTCAGGGACGCAGACACATGATCAAAACCTAGCAAGACAGTTCCAGGATGTTTTCTAATTTTAAGTTCTTTCAGTTACAAAGAAAGCAAGGCATTATGGGAACTCGGTTTGCATATAACCCGCCTTACTCCCCCCACCCCGCCGAAATTCGCAAGGGTGGAGCCTAACGCCAACCAGCCAGTGTCTTTTAAATGGAAAGCCTTCAGTTGCAGGTCCTGTGTAGTTAAGAACCTATCTCCTTGTGGTGAATTCAGAGGTAACGTGCCACGGAAACAAAAATTAAAGCAATGAGGCAGTCAGACATAAATTTTATAAATGTCAACTCAACAGCTCTCATCTTAAAAGGAATAAGAGTTTATTCTGGAGTCATTTTGAGTGACCATAGCCCTGGAACATTAATGTGGGGTAACTTTTTCTATGAGCATCAAGCTGCTATGGCACTCTTAGCTTTTGCATTGGTAGAAGCTAATTTTCTGCTAAATTAATAGATTCTAAAAGATTGTTTGTTGTTTTCTTGCTTTCTTTGGAATTTTTGTTTGTTTGTTTTGTTTAATCTGTTGTTTCAAGATGTTAGTTCTGACCCTGGAGACAAGGAATGACTGTTTCAGAGGCCCAGAATAAGATAAGGTAAATTAGTCTGTGGCCCTATAATATTGGAATCTCTCCATAGTTCTGAAATTTTAATCAGCCCGTCTCTGCAGACACAGATACCTTTCAGGAGTTTGCTTTCACAGGCAGATGCAGTTTCTTTTCAGAAGTTTTTGTTCACAAATATAACATTAATGTTATTCAGCCTAGATTAGGTCACTGCAGTAATGAATGGGGAAGACCAGCTAGGAGGTTTTGCCATCATCCAAGTGAGATTTGATGACAAGTGAACAATTAATAAGATCCCAGAGATGGAATAAACAGGATTTGCACTGGATTTTTGTTCCTTTCTTATTGATGATGAAGAGGAAAATTAGAACGAAAGAAAGAAAGAAAAAAGAAAAAAGAAAGAAAAGGAAGAAAGAAAAGAAGGAAGGAAAGGAAGGAAGAAAGGGAGGGAGGAAGGGAGGTAGGGAGGGAAAGGGAGAGAGAGAGAGGGAGGGAGAGAGGGAGGGAGAAAGGAAGTAAAGAAAGAAAGAATCAAGAAATAGCCCCTTACTTAGAGATGGATGGTAGTGCTTATTGAAATAACAAATATAGAGGACCAAGTTTAGGGACCAGAATTAAAAATTCAAAGATTCCAAGAGAGAAATAGACCATGTGAACAAAAACATCCACATTCTATTTTCAGAACCTGTGATACTTTATTTGGTAGGAAAGACTTTACTGATTAAACTAAATCAAGAATGTTGAAATGGGGAGGTAACTCTGACTATCAAGATAGACTTTATAATCCCAAGGATCCTTATAAGAAAATGGCACTAGATCAGAGAGGGAGAAAGTAAGAACAGAAACCATTGCTGCCTCCAGAGAGTAAATGCCAGCAGCCTTTATAAGGTAGAAGAAATAAACAGATTCTCCTCTGGAGCTTTCAGATGGAACCAGTTCTGGCAGCTCTTTGAATTTAGTACTGTAGGAGTCATTTAAAATTTGAGTTATTCTCAAAAGAGTATGGAAGAAGCTATATTGCAGTAAAGTGGATTCAGTCCCTCAACTTTCTTACACCAAATGCTATCAGAGTATATCATTCCCACATTGTTATGGGCTTACCTCTTAGCACCCACTCTCTTCCTCCAGTCCTTGATGGGTTTAGCTCCTGGCTGATATTCACTTCCACCAATGTTCCTCTTATCTTAGCACTCACGGACTTAAAAGGTCATAGTTTTTTTTTGTTGTTGTTTGTTTGTTTTCATACATGGCCTCATAGTTTCTTTTCTTTGTCTGTGATCTTGTCCTCCACTCTGCTATGCCACCAATGCCCATAGAATATTCTGGAACTGTCACTATAACTGTGTCCTCTTCATAAGCTCAACTATATCCCCTTTAACCACAAATCACACCTTTCTAGTTCACCTCCAGCATCTGGCCTCTCACAATCTCTGTCTCACAGTTTCTACAAGTTCATAGACCTGCCACAACTAGTCTCTAGGTTAGATTTGTGCTTCATTGTAATAGTCACCATTTTCCATACCACTTTCACTTACAGTATTTTTTTGGACAAAACAACATAAAATTCAATTCTCTATTATTTTGCCTCCATTACTATAAAACTGAATGTTACTAGAGGAAAATAAGGAATTGATGGTGACTAGTCTTACTATAATGACAACTCATTTCATTTAAATCTTTGTGTTAGGGTAACAGCAAAAGTCCATTAAAGGATAACTCTTTAATGTCAAGAAAATATAATACCTGGCCTGAGTGGATACCTAATAGCCCAACTGGGCAAAATCAACCACCTGGCCAGAAGACTACCTCTAGAAACATAAGCAAGAGTTAGGTGGAATAATTATCACTTTAATGAGATATCATGCCTTTTCTTTCCAAAATTTCCACCCCATACTGTAGTCTTTTGCAGAATATAGTTATATTGCTTTGTGAGTCACTGACTTCTAAAAAACACAGAAAAAAATAACTGATGTGGTAGTCCCCTCTGTGTGCTGTGATTACCATTAATAAATAAAGAAACTGCCTTGGCCTGTTGATAGGGCAGAACTTAGGTAGGTGGGGAGGACTGGATGGAATGCTGGAAGAAAGAAGGGCAGAATAAAAGAGACATCATGGATCTGCTGCTGAAGATAGATTTGCTGAAGCTTTGCGGGTAGGCCACAACCTCATGGTGATAAACAGATTAATAGAAATGGGTTAAATTAAGATGCAAGAGTTGGCCAATAAGAAACTGGAGCTAATGAGCCAAGCAGTGATTAATACAGTTTCTGTGTGGTTATTTTGGTTTTGGGTGGCTGGGACCAACAAGTAGCCTCCATGCAACAGAACATGAGACATGATTGCTCCTGACAGTACCAATCTATTCCCGAGAGAATGTTGAGCACCAAAGACACTCCACTTGGAGCTTGTTTTCTTCTTGTCACCATTGGCCTTTGAGAAAGGAACTACCCATACCTCAACCACTGACAATGTACATGGTATCCGAAAATGGATAAGCAGGACACATGGAAAAAGACTGTCAAATCTTGCAAAGACAGGGTAAGACAGTTATAAAAATTTCTTGCCTCTGAAAATGGTCTGTCAGTTACTCTAGGCCTTAGCCAAAGTTGGTTGCTTTAACGTTGCAGATGAGACTTTAGGTGATTGCACAGGTAGCTAATTGTCTCTGTCATATATTGCTCACTTTGGAAGCTGCTTGATTGTACTTCCTGCCTGCTCAAGTAATATTATCTCCCTTCTCAGGCCAATGATGTGGTTGAAGATTAGATAGTCATAGTTACTGTACTCTTCTATCTAGCCAAGCCATTTCCTACACAAGACTTAGACTCCTTAGGATAAAATGTTTATTAAAAAATTTAGCATATTTTCCTTGCTTAATATTGTTTATGCTGGTTGTAATTCTAATTAGACTTGATATCTGTTCCTAGTGTATATAGGTTTGTATTGGGTTTGGAACTCTCTTATTTAAACAAAAGGGGGAGGTGCTGTGGGAGCACTTTCCATTCCTTCAGACAATAACCTTTAAGATACCAGCCCACTTGGGCATGGTCTCTGATACTCTAAAAGCAGTTGTAAAGCATACACCTACTCTCTTGCTTTCAGCTCCCACTTCCCACTCCTAGACTCTGTTCCTGTTCGCGCAGAGGACTGTTATCTAGAACAGTGATTTGAAAGTTTTCCCCTTAAATAAATAACTCTTTTATTATTCATAATTCTCAAATGGTGTGGGAATATTTTGTGACTTCCATCATCAGATAACTTCATCTTTCTTCTCCTTTTTTCTTTTCTTTCTTCTTTTATTTCTTCATCTTTCCATTTTTATTTATTTACTATTATGTGTATGGGTGTTTTTATGCCTGTATGCATGTTTGCCTGTTCACCACTTGTGTGCAGTGCCCACAGGGTCCAGAGGAGGGATTCAGATCTCCTACAATTGAAGTTTCAGACAGTTGTTAGCATAATGTGGGTGTTGGGAAGTGAAACCTAGTCTTCTGGTGCTGAAAGATCCAACTCTTGGCTGAAGAAACTGGAGAGGAGGTGTGGAGTCATTGAGGTCTAGACACACACACACACACACACACACACACACACACGGACATTATCTGAGGTGCAATGCTTAATTCTTTCTTTTATTTATTTTTTTCTGTATTGTTACATACATTATTTTTCTCTTTTTCCTTTTATACCATCCAAGACAAAAGCCTCTATGTAAGAAGAAAATTACCTTACAACCACAAGTTGCGTATTTTCCAAAAACAAATTAAAATCTTTATGCAGGAAAAAAATCATATTATGATCACAAGTTACGTGTTTTTCTTAGAAGCCCACAAGTACTTAAAAACTTACCTTTGTATTAATTTTCCCACCATAACATCTTCTTCTCAAAGTAATGACTCTTTTATTATTGACTAACTTTTTTTTTATTTTCAATTTTTCAAAGCAGAGTTTCTCTGTGTAACAATCATGGCTGTCTGGGCATTTTCTCTGTAAATCAGTCTGGCCTTGAACCTACATTGATCCACAGGTTTCTGCCTTCTGAGTGCTGTGATTAAATACTTGCACTGCCATAATTAACAAAATTTTAAGCAAGTCAAGTATATTTCAGCCATTTCCGTTTGAACTGGCAGGCAGTTGTTTGCAGTTTCAGTGTAGCAGATTCCTATCTTATTTCTACTCTACAGAAAGTTTAGACATGTGGTCAGCTAGTCATCTATTTTGCTTTACACACAATAGGGTGATTTAATTTCCTTTCACAATTTTGTTTTTTCAAGGTATATACCAAAACCTGTGATTAATTATGTAAGCTACTTGATCAAGGAACTCATTCTAACCTTGGGTACAAAGACAAAATTGTTTTCTTTGATCAAAAGACTGTTATTTTTACAGGCAGAATCCATGGGTTCATAATGCATAAAACTTCTTGCTTTCATTTTAT